AAGGCCTTTGTCATCCCCCAGGGTGTCCTCAGGGCTGCACCCATGGCAGCTGTGCCCATCTTATTGCCAGAGCTGCAGGACACACCAGGCAGGGCGCTGGCCTCCAGGGATGCCAGGCCACCCTCCTCCTCACCGTTGCACCACACCACCCCCGTTGTGGGGACAAGCCCAGCAGTGCAGCCACCCAGAGGAGGGGCCCCGGGGCTTTGGGCATCCTGCTGCCTCACACCCACAGCTTCCCATCCCCATGAGTGTGGCAGGGATCCCAGTCCCAGAATCACAGACTGGCTGAGCTTGGCAAGGAACAACCTGGTCTAGCCCTCCCTGCTCAAGATGGGCTGCCAGGAGCCCAAGACCACGTCCAGGGGGCTTTGGCGTTATCTCCAAGGAGGGAGACTCCACAAGCTCACTGAGCAGCCTGTGCCAGTAACTCGGTCACCCTCAAAGTGGAAAAGGCTTTCCTGACACTCAGAAGGAGTCCCCTGCATTTTGGTCTGTGCCCACTGCAACATTTGATTTGCCCCAAGTGCAACACTCAAGCTTGGGCAGGACAGGGCGCCCCCTGCCAGGGTTGAGGCTCAGCTCCAACTCTGCTGTTAATGCATCATCCTTAATCTAGATAAGAAAGAAAATACAGACTGGTTTGGTGGCTTCTGCCAGGGAGCAGCAAAGACTGGCTGCTCCCCAAAGGATGGGGATGGCCAGGAGGCACCCCAGCACAGGCGTGGTAGGCACCCCCCGCACGCTGGTAGGCTGCAGTCCCATGGGACCTGAGCACGGCGCGCAGAGCCAGGGCTGGCAACCGTCTCCATCAACAGCCCCGGCCGCAAGAAAGGAACCAGGTCCAGGGTCCATCAGGAGCGTGGGGCTCGGGATGAGCTACAACATACATCCAAGGGGTCCATCCAGGAGAGGAGCTGCTTACAGCACAGGTCCAAGGCATCTGTCCAGAAGATAGGGCTGCAGACCAGGACATGTACAACACAGCTCAGGGGGCTCAAGGCTGAGCACAACCAGGACTCCTGTGGCCATGGGGTTGGGGCCAGGTGAGGCTGCTCAGGGAAATTAAAGCCAATTAATGCCCTCTGGGCCCTGACAACTTTAAAATAAGTCTAAAAGTCAGTTTACACTGAACAAGCTCATTTCTTTCTCCCTTTCAATAAAGCAAGTGAGCTTACAGAAAGTGGTGCCATTCCACCTGCTCTGGAGCTAGATGACTATTATACAGGAAAACACAATTTGAAGTCATCCTTCTTGACATCTTCATGGCTTTAGAGCTACTTCCCTGTGCTCAGAAAACACTCAGAGAGAAAAAGCATATGTTCTATGCAACCAGAAATAATGCTGGTGACTACTTCACTGAGAAAAATAGTTTTTCATCAACATGAAGACACATGAAACGCCCTGGGCAGAATTATCCAATATTGATTACACACCCGTAATAACAGGGTTCAGGTGCTGAGCAAGCCTGACCTTGTGGGTGGCAGAATCACCCCGTGGCTCCTACCTGGTTTCTCTTTCCTTCTCCAAAGCTGGGAAAGCCCCTGTAAAGCCAAGTCAGCAAGGCTGGAGGAACAGTCACAGCCAACACTTGCCCAAGAAATGCTCTCCAAAAGAGCATGCCAGAGGTAGCTGTGCTTCTCACCTGCCACAAGTGCCTCCAGCGGCCACGTCCCCCCCATCCCCATGGAGCTGGCCTGCAGAAGTTGCCGTGGGATGGGGATGTTATAGGGCCCACTGAATGGTGGCACTCACCTGCAATTAAACTCCCTGGGAAATGTCCTCACAAAAGGGGTCATTAGCATGCCCCTAATTGCCCCAGCTCCCTCAGGTGCTGTAAGGGTATTGCTAAAAAAAATTACCCAGGAAGACAATCTCCAAGAGCATGGTGGCCATCACCAGTCCCAGTGGCACGGTGAAACTGTCCCCAGGGGCCTCCTGGGCTCCTTGCTGCTTTTGCAGCTCTTGGCTGGGGAATGACCTGACCCTATCGAGATGGTCTACAGAGCCCTAAAAACTTCAGGAGATCACTTGTAGAAAAACAAGTTGCAGCTGACTTTCAGGAGAAAAAGGCCCTTCTGCCTGAAGGTGCTTGAGTTTGGGTCTCTTGAGGAGGCAGGCCTTGACGCTGGATCGACTCCCCGTCGTAAGGAAGAGACATTAATTAAAATAAGCAGCCAGGGCCACACTTAAGAACCACTCAAGTCATACCTACATCTGCATGGGCCAAGTTCCCACTTTGTCCCCTTCATTTACCAGCACATGTGCCCGGGCACAGAGCTTGCAAAATCGCTCCATCCCGCTTTCTCCACAGAAATCTGCAAGTCAGGGCCACCTCCTCTACCAGCAGCCAACAGGCACGGCCGGAAAAGGGAACAAAACTGAAACCCCCCACATGGCTCATTTTGATGGCTTTTGATGTCACAATTCTCTGCTTCTCGTTGTGGCAAAAATTCTCCAAGCTTTGCCTAAAAATAGAACATCAGTGAGGACAAAAGGGTTGTTTCTTGTAAAACTATGCCCCCCCTCCCTCTTTCAGGTTTCTGCCTAGCCAAGAAAAGCTTGAATATCTATATGTGTGGGTGTGTATAGAGAGAGTATTTATTTATTGACATGCTCTAGACACGGTTTTTCATCAGCCCTGAGCAATTTCCATGCTCTGGTGCTGAGTAGCAATCCAAGCCGCCGGCCAGCCGCGGGCGGACACAAGCCCAGATGGCTGTAGGATAACTCACGCTTTTCCAGTTTAACATCAGTCTCGGATGATCCCTTGCAAGCGCTTGGGCTCACGTGCTCAGTGGTTACAACCCATGTTTTTTTCTGTTCACTGAGTAACAATCTCTAATTCCTCCCACCAGGAACTTTGCTGCAAACTGATATATTTATTAGTAGCCCTTGGGAATTTTTCTAAGGCCACCTGCCTTTTATAGCCAGAGTACTGAACTGCGCTGCCTTCCCAGCCTCACTTATTCTTGACTTCCCAATGCCAGGGACGAGCGGCAGGATGAGGCTCTATAATGCACTGCTGCGGGGAATCCCAGCCCACAGGATGCCCCAGCATGATGATGATGATGGAACCTGGCGTGCCGGGGCACTGTGTCCTTGGGACTGGGACCCAGGTGGCCAAGGGTCCCTGCCAGACCTAGCAATGGGGTCGGAAGTCAGACCTGGCACCCAGCAGTGGTACTAAAAAAGCTTTCCATTGCCTCCATCCATCCCAGGCCCTGCCAATTTGGGTTGCATCAGTGCCGTGGCTGGCCGTGAGCAGCACATCCCACCCCTCGCCCCAGCCCTGAGCATTTATTGGCTCTGCTGTTTTCAGGGGAAGGTCCAAACCACATTTCCCCATCCTGCTCCAGCACCTGCATCTCTGCTGGTGGCCATCCTCCCTCGCTTCCCCTTCCTCATCTTCTGGACAGTGGCGGCAGCCCTGCCCAGGGCTCTGCATCCCCTCCCAGCACCCACCAACTGGTGAGCATGGCTTGCTCTCCTGCTTCAGCATTTGCTCATTCCCTGTGGCAGTCAAGAAGGAAATTTAGGGTTTTTTTTAATCCCCCAGCTGGGTGCAGAAGACGGGTTTTAACCGTGCTTGCTGCGTCTCGGTCACAACAGGACAGGATGGCTTGCAGCAGCAGACACAGCATGGAGAAACCCTGGTTTCCGTTTGGGAACTGCTCCTGCATGGTGGAGAGAGAAGGCAGCTCCCGTCTGCCCCATGGGGCTCCTCTCTCTCCTCTGATCCCAGGGGTTGCAGCCATCACCGGCTGCGGCTCTCCGCTGGGGGCCACTGCTTAGGGTTTGAAGTTGGGTGGCAGTGAAACCTGTGGCCAGCTTTTAGGTGAGGTAACCTCACAGTCTGGTCTGAAATACAGATGGCTCCAGGTTGGTGTGGGAGCCTCCAGCAAGGTCACCCCGATGGTGTTCCTCTCATCCATTCCCCCCGTCCCAGCCCCTGACATTATCCTGGCAAAAGCACACATGCATCTACAGGGTGTCCCATTCCCCCGCCACCACCACCCCCATCACAGCTCTTGCTTCAGCCTCATCCCATGCCAGAACCATCCTGGGAAGAGGAACTAACTAGCAAAAATAGGGGAAGCGAGCCTGTCCATATGGAAAGACTCACAGCTTTCACAGCAGAAGCTGCTTTAACTGTTTATTCCCCAAAACACGCAGCAGCTGCTCTGTGCTGCTGAAACCGGGGCCCAGCCACACACCAGCATCCCTGGGCAGAGCCAGCTCAGTCCTGCTGGGCCCAGCTTTGTATGGCTCAGCAATCCTGAGCAGGAGGTGCTTTTCCCAGCCGGGGCCACTGCAGACCCTGGGGGAAGAGCAGGGATGGGGTAGAGGAGGCTACAGAGGCCCCTAATGTAGGTATGGGGGGGAACACCTGTGCGATGGGGTGGCCACCATGGGGGGAACCTCCAAACCCACCAGTGCCTGCCCCAGGGTCTCGGGCAGCCTCTTCCCCAAGAGAGAAGGAAGACGAGCATTGCACCGTCCCCCACCCTGAAATCACACTGCACTGCCTCCTCGCATCCCCTCCTCACCTCTGCCGGGGAGGAAAGCCTTGGGAGTCACAGCAAAGCCCATGAGACCAGGGCCAGACCTCACCCCATCATGTGAGTGGGACCCCAAGGCCACGGGGCCGGGGACAGGTCCCTTGCACAGCACAAAGGATCCAGGGTCACCCAGAGGTGGGGAGGGGGGGATTCATCTGGGGGAGTCACCCAAGCACTGGCTGAGGGAGATTCACGCAGCGAAATCACCTGGGCGCAGTAAAGAGCTTTCTTGGGGAGGGGGGCTTTCACAACAGGGAGGCAATGAGCTCAGGGAACCTCTGCTTTCTGATCCCCATCTGCTTGTCTCAGCTCCACTCAGTCATTTCTCACATTCATCAGTTCTCACTTCTTCTTTCTCTTTTGTTAATTCAACCCCCAAAAGGAGGAACCACCCAGCAGCTGCACTCCCAGCCAGCTCATTTCCCCAGCTCCCTCCGCACTGCTCGGACGTCTGGTGATAGTCCCACACCAGTTCAGCCATGGGCTGGGTGCTGTGGGGGGTCCTGCTCACCTGGGTGTTGGTGGCTTGGGTGAGAGGGGATGAACAGTCCCAGGAGCTGTCCTCCTTTGCAGGTTTTCCAGAGTGCAAGAAGGCTCTGAAGCTCCCAAGACTGGAAGTCCTGCCGGGGGGGGGCTGGGATAACCTCAGGAATTTGGATATGGGCAGAGTCATCAACCTGGGCTACTCGCTGTGCAAGACCACAGAAGACGGATCTTATATCATCCCAGATGAGATCTTCACTATCCCTCGCAAGCAGAGCAACCTGGACATCAACTCAGAGATCATCGAGTCCTGGAAAGATTACCAGAGCATCACCTCCGCCTCCATCAACATGGAGCTGTCCCTCTTCTCCTCCATCAACGGCAAGTTCTCCTACGACTTCCATCGGACTAAGACCCGCCAAGTGAAAGACCGCGCTGTCACCACCCGAGTGCAAGTCAGGAACCTGGTTTACACTGCCAAGATCGACCCGGGGGCAGTCCTGGACAAGGGCTTCAAGAAGCAGCTGCTGACGATCGCCAGCCACCTGGAGAACAACCAGACACGGATGGCTGATTTTCTGGCTGAGGTGCTGGTGCTTAACTATGGCACCCACACTATCACCTCCATAGATGCCGGAGCCAGCTTGGTGCAGGAGGATCAGATCAAGGCAACATTCCTGAGGGACAGCGGGGCCACACGGAGCGCTGTCACCGCCTCAGCCGGCGTGTCCTTCCACAGCATCATCAATATGAAAACCGAGGCATCTCTGGACGTCAGCTCAGGCTTCACCAAGCAGTATCTGGACAACCGCACCAATTCCAGGGTAGAGAGCATCGGCGGGACCCCCTTTTACCCAGGCATCACCCTCAAGACCTGGCAGGAGGGGATCAGAAACCAGCTGGTGGCTCTTGACCGCTCAGGGCTGCCCCTATACTTCTTCATCAACCCCAACACCCTGCCAGAGCTGCCCACCCCCACAGTGAAGAAGCTGGCCAGGCGAGTGGAGATGGCTATCCACCGCTACTACACCTTCAACACCTATCCGGGCTGCACTGACGCCACCTCGCCCAACTTCAACTTCCATGCCAATGCCGATGATGGCTCCTGCAAGGGTGCTGTGACCAACTTCACCTTTGGGGGAGTCTTCCAGGAATGTTCCGGGCTGGCCGGCCCCTACACCAGCACGCTGTGCCAGGGGCTGGAGCAGAGGAACCCCCTCACTGGGGCTTTCTCCTGCCCCGCCACCTACACTCCAGTGCTGCTGGGCGTGCAGGAGCGGGAGGAAGGCCACAGCCACCTGGACTGCCACAAAAAGTGCATCCTGGGCATCTTCTGCCACCGCGAGTGCCAGGACGTCTTCTCACTCACTCGGGTACAATTCAGTGCCTACTGGTGTGCCTCAAGTGGGACGGTAGCCCCAGGCTCAGGATACCTCTTTGGGGGGCTGTTCAGCACCCACAGTGCCAACCCCATCACTGGTGCCCAGTCCTGCCCCTCGGGGTACTTCCCGCTGAAGCTCTTCGATGAGCTCAAGGTGTGCGTGAGCCAGGATTACGAGTCGGGAGGCCAGTACGCGGTGCCCTTCGGGGGCTTCTTCAGCTGCCAGGCAGGGAACCCCTTGGCAGGGCAGCACCAGGGGACCGCTGAGGACCCCCGTGCCAAGAGCTGCCCCCCAGGCTTCAGCCAGCACTTGGCGCTCATCAGCGACAGCTGCCAGGTGCAGTACTGTGTCCAGGCCGGCGTCTTCACGGGGGGCTCGCTGCCGCCCCGCCACCCGCCCCCCCTCCCC